AATTTCTGCTATTTCCCAGAAGTTCTTTCATTGATGAGAGTCACCATGCCATCAGCTTCAACCAAATATCCATTTTAACCTTCAGCCCTTGGTCATTCAGCCGAAAGGTGTATGCAGTGCTACACTAACAAATCCTCTGGGAACCCTCGGGAACAGGGAACTATCAGTTCCAGACAGGTCCCCTGGGCAGAGCAGGTACTTCTACTTTACAGCACTGGGCAAGGCAAAGGAAGCAAAGGCAAAGGACCGTGGGGCCCCAGAGGCAGCGGGGCCTCGGCTGGGGATCAGGCGGAGAGTCCCTAGGGCTCAGCAGAGCAGAGCTAGAGGTGCGCTAGAGTATGCAGGCCCCAGGCCCAATTCTACCCCACATCAGCCACGAGGCCTTGGACAAGTTCCTTCAATCTCCCTCTCTCTAACCTTCAGTTTTCTCATCTGTAAAATGAGAACTGTATTGCTACCCTGCAGGGCTGCTGTAAGGAGTCAGAAGAGACTCCCACCAAGTGGCCGGGCCAGAAGTCTCAGAGCAAGGCCTTCCCGTGTTGCCGAGCATCCCTCTCACTTATGCAAATGCAGCACAAGTGGGTGTCCTGGGCGTACAGAGCTGGCTCAGGCAGAGGCAATGGGCTGTGTAGCACTGAAGCCCAAGATCTTCTGGGAAAGAAGGGGCAGATCCCTCGTCCACAGAAGTCCCCGAGGCAGGGGCAGAACAGGCTCTGGGGCAGGTAACAGCAAGCCCCTGAGATAAGTTGCTTTGAGGAAAGACAGTCTGGGCTGAGACCCAGACTCCCACAGGGCCTCAGTGCTAGGGCCTGCGCTCGTGTCAGTACAGTGTGTGCCGGGTCTGTGGGGAGCAAGCCAACAGAGCTGACACCTCGGTGACTGCAGGGACACCTTTGCCATCGCTCAGACAAGGGGCCAGCAAAGCCTCTGAGAGGGGAGGTGCTAGGCTCTCGGTCCCATCTTCAACAGCCATGACACATAGCAAGAAAGAGTGGCTGTGAGGCCTGGGCCACTCTCTAGCTCTTTCCATCTGGAAATGGAAGCAGAAAAGACTCCCTGTTTTGGAAGAGAAAGCTTCCAGGGATCTTGGGCAATTTAAGGGGGCTAGGAAGAAGCCTCTAGAGAAAGGTAACAGACCCCTAGCTAATAAGGCAGGTGTGCCCCTGAGCACAACTTTAAGGCAAAGAACTGTGCTTAACTTGCCCCTTGAGTTTGTGGACTCAATCCTACTGGCTACAGAGAGGAAAGCCATAATATATACACAATGCCTGACACGTGACACCAGGTGCCCCAGACCATCTATGTTGGTACAATCAATCCTCATTATTCGCTGGTTGTATATTTGCAAATTTGCCAACACGCTAAAATTTGTAACCCCCAAATCAATACTTGTGGTGTTTTCAAATTTTCACAGACATCACAGGCAAAAATTTGAGTTGCCCAATAGCCCTGTTCCCAGGCGAGGTCGAATGAGGCAACGCTCTGCCTTCTTGTTCCAGCTCTCACTCTGTAAACAACTGTCTTTTTCACAACCTATTAAGTACCGTGTTTTTCACATTTTTTCTGCTTTGTGCTGGTGATTTTACCAGCCATTCTAAAACGGCCTTCAATCACAGTGCGGAAGTGCTGTCTGGTGTTCCTAGATGCAAGAAGGCTGTGATGTGTCTTAGAAATAAAATGCACGTGTTAGGTGAGCTTCGTTCAGGCACGAGTTAGAGTGCTGCTGGCCACGAGTGCAATGTTAATGATGGAATATATGCTCAATAAGGTGTTTCTGAACAGAAACACACATAAAACAAGCTTCTGTATTGATCAGTTGACAAAACTGTTATGACCCGGGTCTCCTAGGACCCTAACCCTGTATTTCTCCGAGGAGCGACGGCTCAGTTTTCGCCAATTCAGTGTCTGTGGTGGCTTTAGGGAACACAAGTACTGTGCATTACAAGAACTGACTGTATGTTATTATTGTAAATGGAGGAATAAAGTTTTCCCATACTTATGTCATGAATGCCCAATTTATCCTCTATTTCTGGAACAGACCTGCTGTGTTGGGGAAGCCGGAATCAGCTGCTTCTGTTCGGATGAAGCAGATGGAGTGCAGGTGCGCCGGGGAACTCACCAAGCGGGCGCGGGGGTTGCGGTGGTAGTACAGCTCTTTATAGTCATCCATCCACACTTCAGCTGCGCGGACACTGTTGGCCAGAGCCTTGCTGCGGGAGTAGGGAGCTTGCTTGGGGAAAACATGGCCAACGTGGGAACACGGGTGTGTTTCCAGAGTCCCACCACACTGCCAGATCTGCATACAGAGCAGAGGAGAGGCCAGGGTGGTGAGCAGGGGATAAGCTGCTGGCCCACAACGTCTGTCGTGGGGAGGCCAGGCACAAAGTAGTCATAACGGACACTGCCAAGACGCTCAGCCTCCATGGGGCAGGAGGCCACTTAGCCCACACTCACGACACAGAATGAGGCAGAGAGCAAGAAAGCAGCCCCCAGGACGAATATGCCACCGGAACCAAGTCCCCAAAGCCCATGCACTAAAGCTCATGCACTTGACTCATAGGAGCTCCCCAGAGGCCTCACTGGCGATCAATCCATTGACTCATCACATAAAACGCAGGCTCGATTACCTGATCTCCTAGCCACAGAAGATAGGAAAGCAGCAGGGAAGAAGAGAGGTTTGGAAGGGGAAAAGGAAGAGCTTCTAGAAATAGGCAGAGCAGCCTGACACCTAGGGAAGAGGCAGAGAGACCATTAAGAGCACACCCAAAGGCTCAACAGGCAGAGTCACCTGGGGCCATTTCACGCGGGACAAACAGCCATGAACATCTCATTTTCCCAAGGACAGTACAACCAAGTATAGCATCTGGTACTGATCACGGAGGGCGTGAGTCCTTGGTGGAAGGCCAAACTCTTGTTTATTAACTCTTTTTATCAGGGTGGGACACCATATAAAATATTACTAAAATCTTAATTTTCGATTAAAAAGCACAAACATTTACACAGTTTTGATGCTTAAAATGTGAGATTCAGAAAATCTACTGAAATGCTAGGAGTCTTCCCAAAGGGTTTGCATGGGCCATGGACAATAGAATCCGTAGGTAGCTTGTTACAAAAAGCAAAATCCTGGCCCCACCCTAAATCTATCAAATCTGACTTTCTGGACTGTGCCTGTACCTGTGCCTTTTTAAAAAGTTTCCCCAGGCCGGGCATGGTGACTCACGCCTGTAATCCTAGCTCTCTGGGAGGCTGAGGCGGGTGGATTGTTTGAGCTCAGGAGTTCGAAACCAGCCTGAGCAAGAGCGAGACCCCGTCTCTACTAAAAATAGAAAGAAATTAATCAGACAACTAAAAATATATAGAAAAAATTAGCCAGGCATCTGTAGTCCCAGCTACTCGGGAGGCTGAGGCAGAAGGATTGCTTGAGCCCAAAGTTTGAGGTTGCTGTGAGCTGGGATGACGCCACGGCACTCTAGCCCGGGCAACACAGTGTGAGACTCTGTCTCAAAAAAAAAAAAAGTTTCCCCAACGATTCTTGTATGTGTCAACGTGTGAAAGCCACTGTCCTAAATAAACAATCTACTTCATAAGGAGTTAGTCAAATGAAGGCTCTAGAAGATGGGATCAGGACGCAGGGGTCTGTATTTCAGTCCAATCCCTGCCACTAACTCTTTGAGGGACCTTGAACAAGTCACTTCTCTTCTCCTGGCCTCACTCTTTAGAGTGTGAGAAAGACCTAGGTGACTTGCAAGGACCTTTCCAGCCCCAAATCTATTCAAAGTACATTTTTTAAAAAGTTGAAACAAGGCGAGCATGTTTATAGGATGTGCATGTCATTATCATCTTTCAGGATCATTGGATAAACTGCCAATGAGAGAGGAAAAGTCCACCAGGCTGTCTTAGCAAATCCCGTCATTCCCAAAGAGAGAGAGAACAGGTTAAAAATGAGTCCAAAGACAACACTGGAATACTCACCCTAAAGGAGAATTCGAGGTTTTCTCCTCCCCAAACTTCCATTCCTGTATCATAAGACCCCAGATATTCAAAATATTTCTTACTCACAGCAAACAGCCCACCAGCCATTGTTGGAGACCTAGAAAGGGGTGATATCCATATTTCACTGAAGGGAGCAGAAGCCAGCACGGTTGGTCTACCTTCCCACCACGAGCCCTTTCATCCATTCACGCATCTCTGAGCAAAAGTTGCTGCGTCCATGTTCTGTGCCGCTGAGCCCAGCCTGCAGGCACAGACGTACCCCATGGTCCCTGCCCTGAGGAGGCTCACGGGTATCTCAATAGGCAAGTACTCTGTGTGTGATAAACATGTTCACCAAGTCAGTCAGTCCTAGGGGACACAGAGGAGAGCAGGGGCAGGGAGGGGAGGGCTAAGTTTCCTAGAGGAGGCAAGGTCCGAAGGACGAAAGGGAGTTAGCATAGAAGAAGAATGGACTGGTGCTCCAGCAGGAGCAGGGGCCTGAGGGGGAGAGAAACCCTTCTACTTCTAGAAGCACACAGATGTGGAAAGGCCAGCGGGCACTTTCCCAGGGAGGTTGGCCAGTGCCAGGCCACGGTGGCCTGTGGTCACCCAGCTGTGCTCTCACAGGCCAGGCACTTACAGATGCCACTCAGGCCAGTAAGCAGGAGACCACAGAAGTCACTCTGGCATCTTAAAGTGCTCAGTATGAACTGCGCAGGAGGGCCAGTTCCGCTTCCGCTTGAGTGGCTTCCCCTCCAGGACACAGACGGCCAGTGTCAGCCTGCTTCCCTGGCTGGTCTTGTTCTCTCCCTACCGGGTTCATCCAGAAGCCAGCACTGACTTCAGAAATGGCCCAAGGCTTCCATCCTACTACAGCGTAAGGTCTACACAGCACAGAGAAGCAGAGGCAAAAGAGTAGACTTAGAAATGGGGGCAAGGAGAACATAAGAGCACAACGGATGCCAGGAGCCTCCAGCATCACAGCTGTCCTTGGACTCTGAGCTCAGGGCCAAGTGGGAAAAGAACAGCAATAGTCCCTTGTGGAAGAGAAGGTTCTACTACAAAGCACTTTCAGGTGTGCTGATCCTAAAAATCCAGGAAATAGACAGGGTGGATACACTTGTACCTATTTCACAGATGAGGAAACTGAAGTGCAGGGATATTATGGGATGGGGTAGACAGCTGTCCCTCAGCATGTCTGGAGGAGGGACAATTGGAGTTCATGCCAGCATGACAGGCTGGGTAAGAGCCTCCCTACTCTGTGCCTCAGTTTCCAAACCTGCTGAGTGAGGGACTAAGCAGCACACTCTCTCTAAGGGCCCCTACAGAAGCCTGGTGTCCCCCTCAATTCCTCCCTTCCCCAGTTCCCACCCAATTTCTCCCAATTCTTCCACCTCAACATCTCTGGAATCTACCAGTTCCTGCCTTTGTCTCCTGACACATCATTTCTGACCTGGAAGACTGCAAAGCCTCTTAGTGGTGTCCCTGTCCACACCCCTGTCCCCTCCAGGCCCCTCACGCTTGGTAGGCAGCACAGTCTTTATAGAACGCAACACGCTCAGGTCACTTCCTGCTCAGATCCCTTCAGTGGCTTCTACCCTCTCAGGGCAAAGTCCAACTCCTCCCCTTGCAGGAATTGGCCCCCCCAGTCTCTCCAGCCTTATCTCTGGACATGTTCTCCTCCCTCGCTCCACTCCAGCCAACAGTGGGTCACCTCGAGGTAAGGACTCAGGTGGAAGGACTCAGGAGCCCAACTGCCAAATGTGGACACAGACCTAAGACACCGCTCCCAGTTCAACACAGCAGCCATAAACCTGGACGGAGTTCTTCTCCTGCCTGGCTCCTACATCTGTCTCCCAGGTGGTTCTGAACTTGGAAGGGGAGGAAGGAGCCAGACTATGACTTCGACACCCCAGAGTGAGAGCTGTTGGTCCTCCCTTGGGCCTGCTCTGCTCAGACCTAGACTCGCCACTGTCTGGAGCTGGCTCTTCCATCCCCAGGTCAAAGGGGCTTGACGGTGCTCCCTTGAGAATGACCATATGATCCAGCAATCCCACTCCTACGGGTACACACAAATAATTGAAAACAGGGACTCAAACAGATAATAGCACACCACTGTTCACAGCAGCATTATTTACAATGACCAAAAGACAACCCAATTGTCCATCAACAGGTGAACGGATAAACGAAATGTGGCTATATGTACAAAGGAATATTATTCAGCCATAAAATGGAATAAATTTCTGAAGGAAACTTGAAAACATTATGTTAAGTCAAAGCCAAATACAAAAGGACAAATGTTGTGTGATTCCACTTATATGAGGTACCTAAAAGAGGGAAATTCACAGAGACAAAAAGTAGAATAGAGGTCACCAGTGGCTGGGAAGGGGAGAAGAGGGAGTTATGGCTTAACGGTATAGTTTCTGTGTGGGATGATGAAAAAGCCCTGGAAACAAGCAGAGGTGATGGCTGCACAATATTGTGACTGTGCATAATGCTGCTAAAATTGTATACTTAAAAATGGTTAAAATGGTAAATTCTCTATTATGCATATTTTACCACAATTTAAAAATTTAATTAATTAAAATATACCAGCCATGCATGGTAGCTCACACCTGTAATCCCAGCACTTTAGGAGGCTGAGGCGGGAGGATAACTTGAGCCCAGGAGTTCAAGACCAGCCTGGCCGACATATTGAGACCCTCATTACTACAAAAAATAAGAAAAATTAGCCAGGTATGATGGCAGGCACCGGTGTAGTCCGACCTACTCAGGAGGCTGAGGCTGGAGGATCACTTGAGCCCAAGATCTCGAGGTTACATTGAGCTATGATGACGCCATTGCCCTCCAGCCTGAGTGACAGAACAAGATCCTGTCTCTTAAAAAAAAAAAAAGAATTAAAATATACCAATATAAAATCCACATGTAGAGAAGATATTTAATAAAAATAAACAAATGCTCTGGGGAAAAAAGGAGGAGGAGGGGAGGTAGGGACGCCGACAGCTAACCTTCCCTCCCGAGGGCCTTCCTTGACAGGTCGGCCAGACACAACGAGGCACGCTCAAAAACTGAATCACCTAGAGGTCGAGCCCTGACCTGATGACGTCGATGGGGGATCGCATCCGCATCCTCTCCCTCTCGGGAACCGCGTGCCACGTGAACACCAGCCTCCAGTCGAAACCGCCGATCTGGGGCTCCCCGGCGTTCCCCAGGTACTCGAAGGTGTTCCAGTCGATCACGTCAATCACCGGGCACACCACTGCCGACTCCTCTTCGTGGATCCTGAAAGCACCCAAGACATCCCGTCTCTCCTATGTGGACGGGCAGCAGGAGAACAATTAGGAAATTCTAGAATGAACTCACACACCCGAGAAAGGCCTGCTTGTCTCATTCCAGGTATCTGCAGCCATGTCAGAACCCTGGCAGGTGCACACCATGGGGAATGCTGGAAGTCGGGGGATTAACATGAAAAGTCCCACGGCTTGAATATTCTCTCATTCAATCTATGGACACTCTGACCAAACCCTCTATGAATGTCAAGGCATATAAAAATCAAAGGTAACAGCCGGGAGCAGTGGCTCGTGCCTGTAATCCTAGCACACTGGGAGGCTGAGGAGGGAGGACTACTTGAGGTCAGGAGTTTGAGACTAGCCTTAGCAAGAGCAAGACCCCGTTTCTACTAAAAATAGAAAAATTAGCCAGGCATGGTGGCGTGCATCTGTAGTCCCAGCCACTCGGGAGGCTAAGGCAAGAGGACGCTCAAGCCCAGGAGTTTGAGGTTGCTGTAAGCCAGGCTGACACCATGGCACTCTAGCCTGGGCAACAGAGAGAGATTTTGTCTAAAAAAAAAAAAAAGGGAACTTTTTGAGAAACAGAAAGCAGAGTCTCAATTTCTCAGGAGTACAATAGGTTTAATCACAATGAAACATCTTAATATCAAGAAATAATTATCTCCCTCAACACAAACGGGGACCCAGACCAAAGGGTCATCTCTGGACTTAGAATATAAATTCTAATCCTACTTCTTAATTTGCTGTGTGACATTAGCCGAGTCACCTAACCTCTCAGAGCCCGTGCCTCAATGGTAACATTGGAATAACAATACCTATTTATAGGGTTAGCATGAGGCTTTCCCAAGAAAATGTTTGTAAGATGGCTGGCAGAGGACCTGGAGCTACTGCTGTTTTTTTCTTTTAATTTTTGTTATTGTCAAATATTACACATAACGAAAAATGCTGTAATTTCCCTTTGCCTGTGTGTGGGTTTAGCTGTTCCCTTCACAAACATTATTACAAGCCCAGCCATCCTTCCACGTGCTCCCAGACTGTGTTTCTTTGCGTTCGACACCACGCCAGGAAAGATGAGCTGAGACTGGACTATATGGAAACACAAGATTTCTTTGGTTTACATTTTAGGAGCTGTTACCTGAAATTTGAGGACTAAACATCCTAACAGTCACATCACACAGGACAATGAAGCAGAGATCAACCGGACTCGAGCTACAGTTTCCTTAGAAGGGATATTATAAATACCACGCTGAGGTCAGAATTACAATTTTAGGGGAAAGTACACCATTCAAGACAGGTTGTGTGAGGCAAAGACTCAAATCTGTGAGTTCTTCAAATTGGGGAAGTTGCAGACTGGGTATCCGCCAATACCCACTCTTTAAAGAAACTGAGGGCATTATTAAAAGGGTGGAGAGGTCCAATGGTCAGACCTGCTGGGCAAGTCCCAAGACACTGCCTGGCCCTGGCAAAGACCAGGTCCTCCAGGAACTGATGACATGCGATCAAGCTGATTGGAACCACCCAAACCTAGTTTTTACAGGAAGAGGGACAAGGGGGGAGTGCTGTACCAGTGCCGGAGTACAGGACTGCAAAGCCTGGGTAGAGAGTGTGCACCTCACGGGGATGCTACTGGCATCCCTTCTTCGCTGCGCAGGGCTGAACTGCAAAATGCCAGGAGCGCTACCTGATTGACGTGACAACCAAGAACACCCTCCCACATTTCCAAAAGGCCCTGGAGGGAAAGCGTTACTGCTCCTGGCTGGAAGCACCTGAGAGACAGTCTACAGTACAATGTGTTCCAACTCTGGTGCACACTCAAGTCCCCTGGGAAGTTTTGAAACATCCAAAAGCCCAGGCCCCAGCCCCAGAGAGTCACATTCAAACAGCTTGCCCTAAGACCAAGCATTGGTATATTTAAAAAGTTCCCCAAGTATTTCTAATGGACAGCCAGGGTGAAAAGCCCCCTCATCTACAGGCACAGAGCAAGGAAGTGGTTACAGGGAGGGCAGGCCACTCTCCAAAGGGCGGGCTGAAGTGGAATTCTAGGTGGCATTAGCGCATCAGCTGAAGAGGAAAAATGTGACTTCAGACCAGCCTAGAGGTGGCCATCTACATGCACTGTGGGGAAAGAGGAACCCACTGGTCCAGCCCAGGGCAGGCACTTGATTGTCACTAAGTTCTAAATGATCTTGGACTCCATCATAGGCCTGAGGAACGCTGAGTCTTTGCTGCTGGTGAAGCTTGTCAGATCTGAGAAGGAAAAAGAGGCAGCTATAGCACCTGCCAGGGTCAGAGTCGGGACAGCAGGAAGGGGCAGAACCGGAGACAGCTTGGTCACGTCCAGGAAGGGAGGTGAGCGGGTTCCTAGCTCTTCCAGATGACCCTAGCAACCCAAGCGTTGGAGGCTGTGGGGAAGCAGTTTCTCAGCTGCAGAGACACTGACCCCTCCAGCCTTTGCCTGCCCCACAGAGGGGAGACCAGACAGCAACACCCTCATACCTTCCTCTTCCTCCGGGTTTGCCTGCCTGGCTCCTGACTTCCATGATACAGAAACAGGAGAATGGGTGGAAAGAGACAGAAGGGACAAAAGTTGGGGCCCAGCGGATGGTGGCTTCCTGGCGGGGTAGTTAGGAGGGTGAGTGAACAGCAGGGACAATGGCCTTGAGAACTGAGCTGCATCGTGGCTTTCATAGGCCCCTTCTTCCACAAAAAGAATAGACATATTAAAAAGTATGTTTTATGACTACAGTGCTATAAACACAAATATAATCCAGGCTAGATCCATTATTATATACACGTTATTATGATATTCATTTCTTCCCCTGCTGATTTTAAAAGAAATTAACATAAACACATTTTTGTGGGTCCCTTCCAGGTTCAAGGGCCCTGGGCACTGTGCTTCCTGGGTGTAACAGATAAGTCAGCTTGAAAGAAATACAGCCAAAGGTATATTCTCTAGCAGTGTCACTCTATTTGATTGACAATTTTTTAAAAATTTTCTTGGTTGAGGACACTTCCTAAATTTTCTACAATAAACTTGGATAAGAAGGAATAATAAAAGCAAACCCAGGGCCAATAAAAGTGACCCAGGGCCTCCTCCATGCTGGTATGTTCTAAACACTTTCTGTGTGTTAAATCACTTAAGGGCCACAACAGCCTGATGAAGCAGGGAATGTCATCGTGCCCACTGACAGAGGATCTGCCCAAGGAGTAGCTGGACCCAGGCACCCACTGTCCCTCCAGCAACCTGATGCACTGTTCCCTCTCCAGGTGGGCGGCTCACGTACCTCTGCAGCAGCGGCTCCAGCCACCCCTCGTGGCACTCACAGTGACAGTCCAGGAAGGTGAGCACGTCACCTTTTGCCGCAGATGCCCCCAGCAGCCGGGCTCGCACCAGGCCCTCTCTCTTGTTCGCGCGGATCAGGCGCACCTTGGGCAGGCCTGACAGCTCGTTGGCCAAGCGCTCCTTCAGGTGCTCTGGGGAGGCAAGCGGAGTGACAAGGGTCACCTTGACACAGTCCTGGCAGAGTGCCTCATCCCAAGCCCTCATCAAGCCAGGACTTTCCCGCAACTCCCTGTTCCAAAAAGAAGGTGAAACAGACACGAGCCTCCTTTGCTCTGCTGCCTGCAACGTCCTGATCTCACCCAGGACCAAGGTTGGAAGTCCTCTGAAGGCCGGGGGGGGGTCTGGGTGGAGGGAGTCCAGAACCACCATTAGCTCCCCATCGAAACACAGGCACACTGAATTGTACACTTTAAATGAGTGAACTGCATGGTATATGACTATATCTCAATAAAGCTGCTAGCAGAGAAATACTTTATAGCTTGACTTGTGAACATTTAAAAATCAAAAACACATGAACCATCTAACTACCATTTTTCTAAAAACAGTAATTATGCTTACTGAAATCTTCTCAGGAGTACTTTACAGTTTATAGTAGTAGTAACAATAACAACGGCAGCTAACATTAAAGAGGAACTTCTGTGCCAAGTACTGTCTAAGTGATTTATAGACAAACCCATCTGATCACCATAACAATCCCATGAGGCAGGTGTTAGTATTATCCCCATTTCACAGATGAGGACATTGAGGCCAGAGAGGCTAAGGAACCTGCCCAAGGTCACAGAGCAAGTAAGCTGAGGAGCCTTGATTTGAACCCAGGGAATCTGGCTCTAGACTCCACAGGCTTAACACTAGCCCAGAGCCTTCTCCTGCAATTTCTCATCCTTACTAAACAAATCAAAAACTTGTCAGAGTTTATCCCACTTTGCAGAAAGGGAATGAGTTGGACAGGTGTACCTACAGAGAGCCTTGGCCTCCAGGTCTCCCGACTCCACAGACAGGACTCTGGGACTGGAGGCCGATTCACACACCTCAACGCGTCAGGTGGAGGCAGGTGAGAACCCTCGTGGGCAAAATAAAAATGAGAGCATTTCCCCATATCAACATGGGCTTTGGGCTCAAACTCCTCAACCACTAGTGAAGGGGAAAATTTTATAAAATGTTTCAGGTTGCTTCATAGTTTATGAAAATGTTTTTCTAATTATGCTTGACACTCAAAAACATTCATTGGTTGATTTTTTTTTAAATCCTAATTATAACTGCAAATAAGCTGACGGAAGGAGTAAGGGAGGTAACTGCAAGCAAAGTCAATTAGCTAGTGCCCAGCGAACACACAAGAATATGCCTGTGTAGCCTCCCTGCACCCATGATGGGATCTGTCAGCATTAATTTTATGTCTGCCTGAACTGTCTTCCTGCATCTGGGAGGGCTAACACCCCTTCATCATGCTCCTACTGACACTGCAGAAACGGTGGGGAGGCGGCAGGGCAGAACTTCCTAATTCATTACAGGTTCAGTGGGCACCTGCTCTGCTTTCAAAAGTTCCCACAGTGGTACCAGGGGAAGCCTGGCCCACACTGCCTAACATTTCTGGGAGAATTAAGCCGTGTCAGAAGGCGTGCCTGCCTGCTGTGGAGCTGTTTACTCTCATAAAGATAAAATAAATAATGTGACATTTGTTTTTAGACGAATATATTTGTGAAATGGTGTTTTTTTCACTTTATAATGTTTTAACTATTTCATAAACATGGAAGTTATCATCTAACAAGAGCTAACTATATGCCAGGCATCAACCTAGCACATCATCCACCTTATCTCATTTAATCCTCACCACAATCCCATAGGTAGAAACCATTATTATTCCCATTTTACAGGGGCTGAAGCCAAGGTTGAAATTGGTTAAGGTCATTGCTCAAAGCTGCATAGTCACTAGGTGTTGGAGAGGGGATTCGAACCCCTGCAGTGAGATTGAAGGCAACCCTGAGAGGAAAGGACAATAGGAGAAACACAGATAAGCACCTACTATGAGCTGGCTGACACGTGGGGTTCTGTCCTATATGTGACCTCATTTAATCCTCACTATAACTGAGACAGGTGTGGACAGACCCATTTGCAGGTGAGAAACTGAGGCTCAGACAGACAAGCAACTCACCCAAAGGGCCACGACCGGATCCTGGTGAAACCTGCCTCAGACCCGCGTGCCCTGACCCCAGAACTCAGTGCCTACTAGGCCACACTCAGCATCACACCCCAGCCTGGCTTGCACGCTGCTATGGAGACTACTGCTTGTCCCCGAAACCCACTCTGCCCATGATCCGCAGCTAGGCACACGCCACCAGGATAAAGACCACATCTCCTGACCTCCCAGGCAGCCATGCTCTGCTCAATGGGAGGGAAGGGGAACTTCCAGGTGTACCCTCAGAGAAAGGGTATGGCTCCCCTTCCCCTTGATGCCCTCTGGCTGACCAGGGTGCACAGGAGGAAAAAAACCAGCCTGGACCACGTGGACCGAGGCAGCACCGCATCCCGGAGAAGGTGGAACTACGACACAGGAGTGGAGTCCCCTACCACGTGGAGCCGCCACGCCCGTCCTAGACTAGCACAGCAGATCTGTGATGTGGGAGATCTGTTTCTCTCTCATGTGATCACTGTTATTTTGAGGCTCTGCAAGAAGAGCCCAACTCGCACACCAACTAGAACACATAGAGGACAGGTCTGAAGTCAGACAGAGCAGGCACAGTGCCTGAAGTAGCAGGTGCCCAGTAAGTGGTGGTTGTTTCCTTGGGGGTGGCCCAGGGATAGTCATTTGGTTTGAGACGGGCTCTAGCACCTAAGCCCACAGTCCCACCTGTTGCTACAGCCTTGACACTTGCCCTCGGTGAAGCTTAGCTGCCTCGCTTCAGCTAGTCCCAAAGAGTCATGGCTGATACTACTCCATCAACACCACCAACGCCAGCCAAGCCAGGGCTCCGCTGCACACGGGCACCATGGAAGCCCCCCACCCTCCTCGCTTGCATCCTTGCCTGGGCCACTTCTGCCATCAGCCATTCTCCACACTGCAGGCCCAGTGACCTCCTCGGATGGACCTGGTCCTTCCTGTCCCCCTCAGGCCTTCTGACGGCTCCCTGTCAGGCTCACATTTAAGCCTCGATCCTTCTGGTGGCCTCCGAGGTTCTGCCAGATCTGGCCCTGCCCACTCTGCAACTCCATTCCGATATCACCTGTCCCCGTCTGATGGTCGGCCCCAGAGAATGCCCCGCTCATTCCCGCTCCAGCACTTGCTGCTCCTGGCCCGGGCTGCTGTCCCAGAGAGCTTCATCGGGCACAGAGGACGCAGGAAGCCTGTCCTTACTGGGCCTATCCCACCCCTGCTGCATCACGCTCTCAGCTCCCAGACACTGCCACGTTAGAACAGGCTCCTCCAAGAGCCCAGGCCTGGGACTCACCTCTATCACTGTAGTCATCCACCAGGATAACTTCTTCCAGCAGGATGTCCGGGGATGTCTCGAGGACACTATAAACTGTCCGAAGGAGAGTTGACCAGGCTTCATTATAAAACGCTAAGACAACAGATGTCGTGGGCAAATTATCATAATCATATTTCTTCTCTTTGCACCTGCAAATACAACACAACTTCAGGAACTGAGAACCCGACCCAAGTGAGTGCTGGAGACAGAGCAAAGAAGCGGACAAGGTCCCCTGGGGAATGGGAAGTAACGGGCCAGAGGATCTTCCAGAGCCCCCCGTGCGCCACTAGGAACCCCAGCAGATTCTAAGAAAGGTTCCAACCATGATGCCCAACACGCTTTTACTGTGGGATATTGTTTTAAACTGTAAAGCAATTTTTAGACTTGAGCAACGCGCAAACCAGGCAGAATCAGAAGGGAGGGAAACTGCCACTTCTCCCTCCCCAGCAGTCCTCTCTCTGTCCCCTCCACTCCAATCCCACTGCCAGGCCTCTGCTCAGACTCTTCCCACTGCCTGCAATGCCCTTTCCTCCCTTCTCTACTTGGCAAACGCCCTGTCCTCTCTCAAGAGCAGCTCAACCCTATTCTCCCCTGGGAAGCCCCTGGGACCACCTACCTTGGGCATCTCCCCGGCACACAGCACGCTCCATCTCGGCTCGTGCCACCACAGTACTCTGGTTACTCGTGTGCCCGTGCCTCTCCCTACCTGCCCCCAGCACCCAGTGTCCAGGCTTGACGAAGGTGGTGTGCGGCACGCACAAACTAGAACTGTGGCTGGAATCCATCAACATTCCAGAAGGGACTCTGTGGAGGACGCTGACGCCTGGTATTCCTGCCGCCCCTGCTTCACGATGTGGCAGCTGCACAGAGGGGTGGGCCCCGACTGGCAGTGACAGGGGCCAGTAAACTCCCTCTTTGTTCAGTGGAATTTGCTGTCACTTTGCACTGAGGGTTCCCTGTTTGACACAGAATTCTATTCTGAGTGACCTGTGACAACCTCCAGTGTCACGGGACTGACTGGAAAACCAGCAGTGGAAAGTGGTTGATGGAAGGATGGGAGAGGAACAAAAACCCAAGAAGGATACCATGGGGACACCAGAAGGACCAGAGTTTGAATGCTGGGGGCTGGCCGAAGGCTAGACATATCCAAGAAGGGGGTAAAATGCTGAGGACCAGCTGGGCTCCCTGGGCAGCTAAGGCAAGACCTTCCCGGACAAGCTCAGCGACAGATCGGTAGCACAGGAGGGGAGATGCAGGAGGAGGCAGGAGGGGGCAGCACTGACACCTGCCACCTGTCTACCACGTGCCACACCGTGCCAGTGGGCCCTTTGTCAGCCAGTTACCAAACACTTCCTGACCACATACTTCATACAAGATGGGCCACGGAGCTCACATTTGGAGGGGACAAGAATCAAGTAAACAAATCAGTCATCACAGAAAGTGATCCGTGCTACGAACAACATAAAGGTGGGTGATGAAAGAGCAACTACGGAGGGAAGTGCGAAGGGGGAGGGGCAACTACAGGACAGGTGATCCTGGAGGGCCTCCCTGAAAAGGTGACATTCAGGATGAGGGACACAGCCCCGTGAAAAGCTGGTGTTTTTTCCCCTTTTATTTTACTATGAAAAATTCCAAACATACAAAAAGTAGAGTGAATAAGAGACCGCTGGGTACCCTTTGCTAAACATCAGTGATTCTTAATGCACCATCGGTCTTGATTCATCTATGTGAACACCCACTCCCCCACCCCAGAGTAGTTTTAAAGAAAATCCAGCACGGCATAGCATCTGTAAATATTTCAATATGGGTCTCTAAGAAATAAGGATTCCTTTTTATAATAATAAGCACAATATCCTTGTCATATCTTTAGAAATTACAATTCCTTAGTGCTATCATAGCTTCAGGCTATAATCTTTCATCAAAGTTAAGCAGTTGTGAGTTGGAAGACACAGCATTCTTTAATGAACCAATAAGAGGGACAAATGCTGCCAATCATAACGGTAGGATGTTGTGATTTTTAAGACACATCCTGATTTTAGAAATGTTGAAATGTGGAAAAAAATGTGCCTTAACATCAGTGAAATGTAGTACTTCATCGTACCTTCAAAGCCATGTCCTATGTTAGCATTTATTTTTCCAATTTTAAAGGTAAAGCTCAGAGAGGTGGAGTAACTTGGTCAGTTCACAGAGCACTTGCTAGTGTGTACTGGGCTAAGATCTCTGTGTCCAGGAATCTTGTTATAAGGTTCCTTCTACCCAAGAGAAGGCTCAGTTGAGCCATCTGAATCCAAATAAAGATCCCTTTATCACATCTTCCCATCTGGCCTTCCCCCTACCAAGATATGGACAATTTCTCTTCTCCTCCCTCTCAGGGTCTTCCAGGGGGTTCCAGGTCCCTCTTCCTAATGCGAGGACAGCTTCTGCAGCGAGCTCTGGGGCTCCCTGGCAGCAGCCTAGCTCTGCTGTCTCTTATCTGAGAGTCTCTAACAGGGGCTGGCTCTTCTCAGCCACCTTTATATTCTCAACCCTGATGCATCTGGAGGTCCTGCTCTGGGCGCTCAAGGAAAAATCACCCAGGCTGGAAGCAAGAAAGCTCTCGCACCATGAAGCCACAGGGCAACCCCACCAGCACCTAACTAGCCTGGAGCTGAATCCTCAGACGCCATGGGCTATCAATTCATGGAAGTAGTTAACGTAGCACTGACCTGAGAAAGGTTTTTATGCTCCACAGCGGGGAGTCTGGTCCACACTCAAAAGGAGGAGAATTCAGCTCTGTTTCTTGGAGGGAAGGATATCAAAGAATTTGTAGATACATTTTAAAACCACAACACAACACAACAACAGAAGAGAGAGTACGTGACTTCCAAGACTAGGTCATAAGACATCCAGGCTTCCTCTTTGTTTCCTCAATGGAATGGATCATCCATTCTGGGAACGCCAGCTGCCATGTTGTGAGGAGACTCAAGCAGCCCTGTGGAGGAGTCTATGTTGCAAGGAACTGAGGCTTCCTGCCAAAAGCCAGCACAAACTTTCCAACCATGCGAATGAGACAAACTCCAGCCCCAGTCAAACCTTCCTAGAACGAAAGCCCCAGGCAACATTTTGGCTGTGATCTCAAGTGAGACTCTGACCCAGAACCACCCAGCTAAGCTACTCCTGAATTTCTGGCCCACAGAAACTATGTAAAATTATCAGTGTTTATTGTTGTTGTAAGCCAGTAAGTTTTGTGGTAATACATATCTTGAAATAAATCACAAGAAAACTGTCTGACAAATCCAAACTGCGAGACATTTTATAAACCTATAAATGTGCCTATACTCTTAAAAAATGTCAATGCCGTGCCAGACAACAAGAGGCTGTGGACTGTTCCAGAGTGAAGGAGACTAAAGAGACATGGCAACTACATGGCACAACTGATTCTTGCTTGGATACCTGAGTAGGAAGGAAAAAAGTTGCTATAAAAGTTGGGACGGCTGGAGAAATCCAAGATTGTGTCAATTTCCTCAATTTGATAATATATCTTGGTATCCTGAGAGAATGTCTTTGTTCTTGGAAATACATGCTTAAGTAAGGACGGGTAAAGAACTGTTATCTCTGTAACCTACTCTCAAATGTGTATGATATTATAGTAGACATATAGAAAGAGAAAAATTAAGTAAATGGGGCAAAATATTAATGGGTGGATTTAGATGGAGGATTTACAGGAGTTTGTTGTGCTATTCTTGCAAATTTTCTCCAGGTTTGAATTTTTCAAAATTAAAAGTTTAATACAAAAAGAAGAAAAAAAGTTTAATGTTGCAAAGGATGTACCCAAATGCCAAGCCAATTCTGATCTATAAATGTGTAACTCAGTCTTAATGGCCCTTACAAATGCCCTCCCTAATCTCATTCTTTCCCATGCCTACCAAAACAGCGCCCCCCCCAAATATATAAGTTATAGTAAATGGAAAACATACGTGTGCATGCAGTATCAAAATATTTATTATGTCTGGATTATTTAGCTCCTGCATACTAGAAGGGATGCATAGAAAAGCTATATAGTGCTAAGCTGTAGCCCACTAGGAGCCTCAGAAAGAATGAATTACTTACACTATATGAAAAAAAGGGGTTTGTGAAACCAAAAATAAAGATTTTTTTAATCTTTAAAAAAAGATGCAGGCCAGGCATGGTTGCTCACGCCTGTAATCCCAGCACTTTGTGAGACTAAGGCAGAAGGATTGCTTGAGGCCAAGAGTTGGAGACCAGCCTGGGCAGCATAGCAAGATCCCGTCTCCACAAAAAATTAGATTAAATTAAATTAAATTAAAAGTTAGTTGGGTGTGGTGGCGCATGACTATAGTCCTAGCTACTCAGGAGGCTGAGGCAGGAAGATCATTTGATCCCAGGAGTTTGAGGTTGCTGTGAGGTATGATGATACCATTGCACCCAAACTGGAGCAACAGATCATGACCCTGTCTCCGAAACAAACAAACAAACCAAAAAGATGCTGCTAAAACTTAGTTGCAAACATTCATAGGTTTAAAGAGAAATGAGTGAAAATAAGGATGGTAAAGTGAGGTTTTCAAAGTGAAGTTTACTCAATGTAAAGAATTGTCCTTACGTTTGAAATGACATCCTTACTGTATTGGATTAAAATTTATTTCTTCTCTGCTTGATCAAACAGAGTTGGAAACATGTATCAGCCTCTCTTCAGTTTTTTTTTGTTTATGTGTTCTCACTGCTCTGTGAAAACCAAAGGCCTAAGGCCACTGTCCTAGAATGTCAGAGCAGGCTCTTTATTTGTGTTACCTACATCACAAGAAAGCTGGGTGCCAATTGGCAATTCATATCCAGACCTTTAAAATGTTCCTCTTCTCTTTGATCTCATATCAATATATCTAAGAATTTCCTGCCTAAGTAATAATCAGATACCCAGAAGGAGGCTTATAAAAAAACTTTTTTTGTTAATATTATTTATAATAGCAAAAAGCTGCAAACAATTTGTCCAGCAAGAAAGAAACAGTTATAGTACAGCTGCATGAAGAAATGCTACACAGCCATCAAAAACACATTTTTAGAGACTATTTAATGATAAAGAAGAATGGTCACAGTATAATGTTATACCAAAAAAGCAGAGTAGAAATCTATAAGTAGCCAATTCCAGAAACAA